GATATATAAGACCCCATTTTATATCAACATTTATTTTGATTTTTTGGACATCCCCAAATTTATATTTTAATTTAACCAGTTTTTGGAATAATTTCATATATTGTAAGTAATTTTTTTCAATTAAATTTACTTCTCCAGCATATGGATTGGGTTCAGGCTTTTACTAATACTTTTTTAGCTATTGCATTAAAATTTTCTTTGAAGTTAATTTCGGTTGCCGTGGATTTTCGTAGATTCTTTTCTTCTTCTATTTTGAAATAAATAGACTGAAGTGATTAAAAAATATGTGTATTCTTGCAGAAATGAAATGAAAATTTTCTTACGATTAAAGTTTTGGATTTTCTTAAATTTTATTTATAAATTTACTTTATTAAATACGTGAGTTCTTTCAGAAATTTTTATAATTATTTTTGCTCATGTTGCTTCTATAAAATTAAAAAAAATTTTTACTGCATTAATTTTAATTTTTAATAAACGATTTTATATGTTTATATATATCAGAATGTTTCTAATGATTGTTATTTAAGTATCTTGCACTGTCCAGCTGAGCCAGCAGGAGGGATTTTGAAATCATTTTTGTATTTTGTTTGTAAAAATATTTGAATGTTTGTTTTGAATATAAAAATCTATTTTCGTTATGCTAAATTTATATTCACGTTTACTTTATTTATGAATATAAAAAATTTTAATGTTTATATAAAATGGGCACTCTTTAATTTACGACCTACTTTAATTTAGCAATGAAGGCTGCAGGATGTGGCTCTACGAGTCATTAAAATGCATTATATAGATGTTTATTTTGACACTGATTTATACATTTTTTTTATTTTTTAAAAAGTAGACTGAAAATTGCCCAACAGATGGTACTGCGGCCAGAAGAGTCCTATTGTACCAGTTTCACTATTGATTAAACAAAGCCCCTTAAAGCATTGTGAATAAAGTCTAGAACTAAATCTAGAGAAGAATTCTTAATCTGCTCTGGTGACAGAAATTCTTTATGAAACAGGTTTCTTCTGTGCGTTATTAAAGTTGGACAGTCACAAAGAATGTGCATGGTCGTTTCTTCATCTTCGAGGCATAATTCCGAGTTCGCAGATAATTGTAGTTTATGAAGATGATATTTCAGACCATAATGACCTGTAATGAAACCCGTTATCAACCTTACATTTTGAGAATTCAAGAATGTCTAAGATTTATACATAGGTATAGCGTTCACAAATTCACACAATAGGATTTTATGGAAATAGGTATATATATATTATATATATATTATTATGTATATATATATATACACATAATAAGCATCTTTGATTTTATAGTCAAAAACTTATTATTTAAGTTTCTACGGATTAAACTATTGAATGAGCAAATTCATCCATGAATTCAATACAATTAATTGCATCAGAGAGAACGTTATTCTTTAGAATATTGTAAATTATATATATAATTTTCATAAGTTTGGAGAGGTTTTGAAAAGTAGTGAACTGCAACAACAAAATGATTTTAATTAATTGATTAATTGACTGACCATACAGCTATTTCGGGCAGCCCGAAGCTGAGATGGAAGAAAAACGTGTACGAGGACGCCAGAAAGCTCGGAGTTCTGAATTGGAATACAACTGCACAAGATTGAATCAGATGGAGGCAGGTTGTGAGGGAGGTCAAGGTTCACACTGGACTGTAGTGCCGAATAAGAAGAAGAAGAATACAGCTGTTACAAGTATTGGTCTTGGATTTATTTATAAAAAGTTTATAAAAAAGGCAATTATTTGTGTGTATCAAACTTATATTATCAATGAAGTATTGCTTCTATGGTTAGTTAGTTTTAGGTCATGTAAATAACCACCGAAACCGCATTGGAATTAAATAGTTGCACATCCTTCAATGGCGATATGAAGTTAAAATTCCATATATCTATAGATCTGATTTATAGTTCTGATACATTATTCATGTTATTTTACGTAAATAATATAAAGGTCTTAAAAATTAACTCCAGCAGTTCCGATGTATTTATAATAAACAAAGCACTCATTAAAGTGGTATATTCCTTTTCTGCTCTCGACAGTGTTATAAATACAGACAATGGTGCAAAAATGGAAATAGAAACTAGAGTAATAAAATCCCCATCAGCTATGTTATTGTGCAACTCAAAAATATTTGGATCCGGATATTTAAATTATATGTACTTTATAATGGTGCTTCTTTACGAGTATGAAAACTCGCTGACCCCAGACACAATAAACCACAATACTTCATAAACCACAAACATATTTTTGGCAGATAAGTACGACCTATTTTAAAAATTTTGTCGATAAGTTATTCTAATCTGTTTATGGATGACGCTTTATGTAATTTATCGACATATCCTTATCGACATAAAGGAGAAATAATTAGAACGCTCTTGGAATAAGGTGAACCGACTAACAAAAAACTGTACAAAATACATAAATTTTTGCTGAGATCATAAACTCCTATTTAAATATAATTGAATATATATATTTAATTATTTAAATATTTATAGTAATATATAATATGTATATATATATCTATTTATACCAGATAAAGTGGACTAGGTCTCAACTGAAATTGTCAGCAGAACTATTTGAAGGCTACTGATTTGACTTCCACCATAAAGGAAATCATTGAGGAACAAATTTAAAAATAATCTTCCAGCAAATCAACATGTATCTTCTATCTTTTTTGTTCGAATTAATGAAATTTTAAATTATAATGACCAATAACATTGACATAAACATATATTTCAGCTGCTGTGTGATGTAACAATACGAAATATCTTGCACTTGCCGGTGCTCAACTATGGAAATACTGAATTTATACTACAGAATGAAATAAAAATTGAAAAATATAAATAAACAAGGTAATAATTGTTTACATTATGTCAAAGAGTATACCGCGGGGGGCAGTAACGAGACGAACGATATGTAATACGAAGTGAAATAGGTCGCAATTCCTGGCTATGAGGCGTACGAGTGTGTAGTCAGTCTGCCATCATGTTTATATGTAAAAATACGTAAAAGAAATTCCAATTTTGAAATCGTTTACATTCAAGTAGTCAAAACAAATGCAGTTGGGCGGCCAGGGGGTGGTGAGAATACACAATATATGTGTACAATTAAAGATATTGCTATATTGGATGCAACATTGCACAATGCCATTGTGTTTCCAAATAGGGTGTCTGAGTATGCCAGTGAAATACTGTGCCTATGGTATTCGTTGGAAGCAATAGCCGCAGTTTTAACAGAAAATGCTTTTCAAATATTTTTTGTGTTCTTTAGCGTAAATACAATATTAAAAAATATCGATGGCTTTAATTAAAAACTTTTGATTATGCTTGTATATCAATGACCTAATAAAATACTAGGTTAATAAGCGTCCAAAAAATAAGAAAAATAAGAGTTCAGGAATAACCATCAACTGCATGGTACTATTAGATATAGTAAAATATAGTTGATGAAGTTACTGATAAGACGGCTTAATGTGATAATAATGATGACTATATTATCATTATTATGTCACGAAAATAACCGAAAAAAAACTGCGATAACATAGCAATCTATTTTGAAAAAATCCTGATTTTGAAAGAGGTAGATCTCGATATACCAAGACGTATTACAAGGCAATTCACCTGAAGCGGTAGCGGGGCCTGTACGCAGTTGACACCGATGGAAGTATTTTGATAGGGACCCTACCTCGAAATAATACTAATATAGTACCGCGTACAGCCACTCACTTCCCGGTGCGCTGGATCGTGGTCAGTGCGTAAGTATTAGTAGTTATTAGATTCGAGTCTTCCTGGATTAAACTTTCTTTTTTTTATAAAATTCTCAAATTAATGACTACAATAATTTCTATATCTAAAAGTTATTATATATTATTATTATAATATATAATAATATTAGTTATTATATAGTATATAATTGCGATATATTTTTAGATAGGTGTTTTTTATTACCCAAGAAATTTTAGGATAAATGAGATTTTCCGTAACAATGATAAATAAAAATAATTTTGAAGCTCTATAACTGTTAAATCTTAAAAATAATTTAATAGACTTAAAATCAGTACATGGTTAATATGTATATAAAATAAAATAATTTTTCTAAAATTTAAATATTAGATTCTTTTTGGGTAGCCTTTTTTTGACATACATAGTGTATCTAAACACATACTTTAAATAAACTTCTTTCAAAAAATGGATCATCTCCACTTTTCGCGACGTTACAAGTAAAAACCATGTAAAGGTATATGTGTTTCTTTTCGATTACAGTTCCTTCGTTTATACCATAGCTTTATGTAAAAAATTATATATATATCTTTCGTTATATTCTGCTCGTGATCATACAAAAGCACTCAATTTTGTGATTCCTTAGACTAAAAAATGGATTCTCTCCTATTTTTCGAGACGTTTCTAGTTAAAAACCATGTGCTGGTGCGTGTGTGTTTCATCTCGATTGCAGTTCAATCGTTTTGACGATTTGTATTACTAAACATTTATATATCTATAAATTAAACATATTGTCAGACATATATTATTATAATTTTCTTTGAATTTCAAACAATCAGACAGACTTCACCATTTATTCCATTTATTGGACCAGTACTTTCAACAAAAATAGATACAAACAAGAGCGAGTAAGTGCAAATCATCAAATGTATTGCAGTTGATTCTATGTTAGAATATGGAATGTTGATTAGAGAAAATTTTATTAAATATTCATTTTCTTATACGCAAAAATATCGAAATATTTCATATACAAAACTTTTTTAAAATTTAATTAAAATCTATTAATTTTAAATTTCATGACGCTTATTTGTTTATCTCATAATTACATTCAAGAAAACGTTAATGATCATTTATGACATCATAAGCAAAACAGGAGAGTGAAAAACTTATAATTTTAATACTCTTTTATCTCAAAAAATATCTTTTAATAAAAAATGCTGAGTTTAGACATGAGTTTTCCTCATAACAAACGATACAAATGTGTAATTAGTTGAATTCGAGTCTCAGTGCTGCGCGGTCACAGAAAACGGGAAAAGTTGAAGAAAAACAGAAATAAATACTTCAGAAACATAGGAAGTTCTTGTATATTAACTCACGCGGAGTATCCGAAATGCACATACATCCGAGTTCGCCGAACAGCTCCACACCATCTGAAGAAAACGCTGCTATAAAAATTCAAGCCGGATTTCGTGGTTATAGGGTGCGCAAACAATTAAATCATCATCAACCCCGCTGTTCCACAAACGGATATCACTCCCATCGGAATACCGCTCATCGCCGACATCAACGCCAGCACGAAGCTATGGAGAACCATAATGGCAGAAGACACAGTTCTTCGGGCAACGGTAATAATGCTTCTGGACAGTTACGCGATCAGGGTGATCAAAATGGGGATAGTAACACCATTGAAGATCGCTGTGCTACCAAAATTCAGGCAGGCGTTCGAGGATTTTTAGTTCGTAAGAAACAGAAAATAGCTACGGATGCAGCAACCAAAATACAGGCAAGCTTTCGGGGCTTCAGAGTTCGTAAGGAAGCACAAAAATTGAAACAAAAATAAAGTGTAAAAATAACTCAATATCTCAATATCAATTAAGTGGAAAATCTTTACCGAAAAGAAATTGATTAAAAAATTAAAAAAATAAATATTTTTTAGAAAGTTTTCCGTATTTTTTAAGAATTTTAGATAATATATTTAGTGTTCGTAAACTGCAATTTTTAGTAAAGTTTTTATATATAATAATTAATTTTTTGCTTCCATTTTGCTATTTTTATAACATTTATAAAAACAATTCGCACTATAGAAGTAACTCTTTCGAAATGTTATATATAAATTATCATCTCATATTGTAAATATTTTATAAGCATTTTGTTTTCAAAACAAAATTTATTAAAAATATATATGTTTAATTTTATAATATTAATGGGAAAATAAAAAAAATATTGTATAAAAATAAATAAGAATTTAAAAGTTAAGATGTGTTCTGTAGAATGACATATTAATTTGGTAAAAACTAAAAATAAATTTTTATTTTATTACTAATAAATTTTGCAAAAATATATTTTTTCTGCATTTAAACAAAATTGTTCTGTTCTCATAAGTAAAAAAGCGTAGTTGAAAGATGATGACTTTGAAAACCATTAAAGGCAATAACATTTAAAGTAAATAAGTGGAGTGTGTGCGGTGGAAAATAGAAAAACCAGTGGTGTTGGTTCTGGGTTAATCTAAGTCTAATGTGTAATTCTTTTTATAATTATTTTTTCTATATTTAATATTGTGATGCTCATATTTGATATAAAGTATTCAGTATATTTTTTCTTACATTGATTTGAAATGCTGAATCCCCAACTCTCTTACCTCAGTTCTCCAATTTAAGCCACTGACCTATTAGTCATATAATAAGTTGAAGCGCTCCACAAAGTACATCTTAAAATGCTCACATATTTTATTTACTTTTAAGTTGACATAATGCAGTTACATCATTCATTCAATATTGACTGAAGATAATAAAAGAGTTCAACTGATTTTATTGATGCCGTAATCTATAAAAGTGGATGCAGTTTACTTATTTAGAAATATTTTATTAGCTTTTAATGTATGTATCGTAATTTTACAATGTTTTTATATATACACAGCATATAAACATTTTAAATAGATATATTATATATTATTATGGTATATTAACCTTATTAATTGAAATCAGAAATCAACTATTTCTATAGTTCATATTTTAAAGAAATGTGCTATATATAGTTCATGTTTTACACAAATGTTTTATAAAGTTCATATTTTAAAAAAATATTCTATATAGTTCATATTTTATACAAATATTCTATATAGTTAGTTCTATATAGTTCATATATTAAAAATATATTCCATATATTTCATATTATAAACAAATATTCTATATAGCATATACTCTTTTCATTGGTCCAGAGCCCTTCTGTGGGGTAACAAATAGCTTCACAAATAACTTATTATATGAACGGGAGAAACAACATCTACTTGAACACTGGAGAGCCCAAACAGGCAAACGACAGTCAAAAAGATTTATTGATCCTGAACAGATCAAAGTTGATGCTATCATCAACCTTAGCAGAAACGATATCAAAATCTACACTGAACTTATTACAGGACAGGACTGTAGACTTAATTACCACATGAAGATTATAGGTGCGGTAGAAAGTGATTTCTGTCGACTCTGTCATGAGGAGAAGGAAACATCAGAACATGTTCTATGCAACTGCCCAGCGGCGGCAATAGACGATTACCTTGGTAGCGGAATTCTGGTCTCAAATCAAATAGGTAAAATTAAGCCCACTGCAATTATAAGATTTATAAGTAGTCTAAAATTGTCCTAGTTGGGCCTATAGGCGAACAATAGATCTTTTAGGTCGGGGTGCACAAATAGCCTATTTTAAATAATAATAATAAAAATATAACTATATAGTTCATATTTTAAAGAAATATTCTATATAACATATGAGCTATATATGATCTATACTTTAAAGAAATACTCTATATAGTTCATAGTTTAAAATATGAACTATATTTTAAATAAATATTCTATATAATATTATGTTTTCTTATATTATATTATTATATAGTATATTATATACATATAATATATATAGTTATATATTAATAAGGATACCCATGAAAGACTTTGAATTTTAATATTTATAACTGCATCATTATATGTATTACCGTCTTTAATTTTTTTATTGAACTAATTCAGATATATATAGACTTGATTACAGTTTGTCAGAATTTGATTCTATGTATCTACATTTTAAAAGTCTCATATAAATATCTGAATACAGTAGCATATACATAACATAATATGCTTTTAGACGTCGATTCCAAGTAGTTGAGTTTCATTTTTGCGAAATAGCCTGTTGTGATTACATTAAATTAAAGAGATTGTTTTCACATTTACAACTAATATAAGGTAACATAACACATACCTATTAACAGCCGATTTTGTTTGATTACTATATATTAAACACAATTATATTACATTTATATATATATATATAGATATTTATAAGGTTAAATACAATTGTTTATTCAAGCCGTCGCTATAGAACATTTTCGAGTAGCGCTGATATTACAATATTAACATGATGATCTCTTTTAATAAATTCTGGTTCTGAATCATTCAGGTTCATAAAACTTTGAAACATAGGAATTTCTTAAATTATAAATATAAAAAATTTATTTTAATAATCTTGAAGTATCTCGAAATATGAAAAATGCACACAAGGAAAAAAAATATATTTATTATTCGATCAACACTGTCGAAATACCTCAACTTCCCTGAAATTAAAATTGATAAGAGTTTTAATAGCTTTTCGGAATTAAGGAAGAAAAAGGTATTCCGGAATAATTCGAATAGTAACTATAACTTTTTTATTTTTACCTAAATTTAAGGTGTGCTGACCAATTTAACCAATTTAAGCTTGGTTAAGGTGCGCTGACTCTGAGCTTCACATTTGGCAGGACCCGAGTTCGATTTCTGATACTTTTTTTGAGACTTTTTTGAGAGATAATTAAATACAAGAATTATTTCCAAGACCACTGATGATGGGTATTTGGCAATTTTCGAAACAGCTGTATGGTCAGCCAAAAATTCAATCAGTTTTTGTTTGTTGTAGTTCACTACTGTTCGAGAAACCTCTTTCAATTTATTTGAGAATCCGGTATTACAATGCTTTTGCTTTGAGATACTTAATTCATATCGTTACCATTTTTAGTCTAATAAAAATATGACTAAACAGAATATATATCTGTGGACCATAAAGCTGCAGATTATAGTTACTCATTAAACTCTCTACATATAAAACACTATAAAATATTAAATATTTTTGTAGGATTTTTTATTTTTTAAAAATATGCAGAAACATTTTTATATCTAAGCCACGCATATACTTTCATAAATGTTAACAATAATTCTAAATAATTATTTAGTTAAGCCTTCTCACTTAATCATATAGTACACGTCTGCGAATTTTTTTCTCACTTTCAGCGCTCTTATTCCTCTTACGCATATGTTTTGGGATGACGCGGAATACTTCCGAATCAATTTGCACTGGCATAGAATTTTGTCGCATCGCTAGCCATTTAAGTTTGTTGTCACTTATTTTCTTTATTCGATCAGCATTAGATGCCGCAGCAGCTGTGTTGGATTTATCTAAGCAACAAAGATATAATAATAAATATATTTGAAAAAAAAAACAAAAGAAAAACAAAATGAATAAATAAACAAATATATTTTTGCACTCTACTGTCGGCATATGTAAATTTATGTAAATTTACAATTATCTGCGATTATCTTGTGTATGTTATCGAACAGTTTTTAACTCCATAATCAATTTTCGAATACTCTGGGTAATACCATATTTCCACTTGTATCATTTACAAGTGCCAAATTTACAACTAAATTTAAATATAAATTTGCATTTATTTAGCTCATTAAGGTCGCTAATGGGGATAATTTGCTGTACAAAGAGCTTTCATATAAATTAACTCATTATAAATAAATTAACTAATTTAAGGCAGAAAATCTCGAATGCAAATAACAAATAAACCAATTAACAAACATAAATCAGCTTATACCAATACTGTTTAATTTTATTCACATAACTAGTTTTGAGTGGAAACATAAATTCCGGTAGGCGAGGCGCCTAATCCATATCAGTAAATAGAAATCTGTTTAAAAGCTCTTAGTGGCAGATTTTATGGTAGATTTCAGCGAAATAATTTATGGTGTACCCCATGTAAGAATATAAGGATATATAATAATTATAAGCATTACAAGAATATGTATTCCTTACATCTGTAAGAATAGTTTAGATTAGGATGATTGTATTAAACAAGCACCGAATTGTCATCAGAGAAGAAATTTATTGAAGGAATCAAAGACAAGACAAAGACTGTATTACCGATAATAATGATGATGCAAAGTAAAATAATTTGATTTTTATAACTAGAGTAATTATAATATAGAGTAATTTTTTATCTATAAAAATTATATAAGAAAAATTATGATTAAAAAAAGAGGCATCAATATTGATTCTCCAGATCTTAAGACACTTAAGCTCAAATATGAGACGAACTTAATAGTTGTAATGCTGAATATAGACAATTGCAATATATACATTTAATGTAATTTAATTATATCTTGATGTTTTACTAAGAACACGACTAAATGATTTTGATTTATGGATTAAAGTCCGCCACAAAAATTGTACGTAATTAGATTATTTTTATTAATTATTCGACGGGAAGATGGGAAATGCTTATGCACTTTCTACGATGCAGCGCTCTGGAAAGTGAGTGCTCGACTCGCAAGGATTAAACCCCTCTCTTTCATTCCTACCGACCTTGTCATATCCCGGAACTACGTCAGTATTATTTCTAGGTAGGCTTACCATTAGTCATTTAGGACTTTCATTGGTGTGACCTACGTCCCGACCTCGGTCATGTTGCAAATATTTACTATGAATTTATAATAAACTATTAAATCAATTTTTTTCTTTTGTGTGTTTACGTATGCATTTCAATGTTAGATCTCCTATTTCGAAACACATAGTAACTATGTCCTTGGAAGGACATTGATTTATTTATTGATTTGACTTGTCTGGATACAGTTTAGAAACATAATAATCTAGTTTGCGTATCAATAGATAACCGTATAAAGAGAGACAGAAATGAAGGAGTTAAGCAAACAGACGAGAATTAAAGAAACTGATGGATGTTAGAAAAAAAACAGACAGATTAACAGTTAGAACGTCAACTAAACAAATAAGCAGACTCACATTAGTCAATGAGATGGGTGGGACCCTGTAGTACCCCCAGCTATCAAAGAGTAAAAGTGCCCAGTTGCATATAACTTGATATAATATTTTACTCTCTCTCTCTCTCTCTCTCTAATAATACTAATAATTATATATTAGTATGTATTACCTATATACCATAAATATATTATATTAATTATATATGGAACAACGTGACAAATATAATATTGCCCATATGTTTATACGACTATACCGCTTTAATTGAATTAAAATTTTAAGTCACAGCCGTCAAATTCGTTGTTTGAAAAAAAGAAAAGAACAGTCCAACCAACCATTTGTGAAATTTAAGTAAAAGGAATTATTTCATGAAACGCTATAATGAACTGCTTGGAAATATTTAGTTCTCTGCAATAAGAAAATTAAAAGAAAAAATTTTTTTGACTATGACAAGTAAAGAAAATTTGTCGAAATGCGTCAATACTTGAAAGCTTTGAAATATTTTCAAAAAATTAAATATTGAAAATGAACCAAATACCTACGTGGTCGCTTTCGTATTATTTAAGTTAATTTATCACCAATTATCACCAAATATTCGAGAATATAGCTCTATTATAGTAAATGGATATTATATTATATTATATATCATTCGCGCACTTACTTGATAGCACAACTGACTTAATTGGATGCATATCTTTGGTATTGACTTTATTACGTGTTTTTATGGGTTTCCCATTACTACTCGATCCATTATCTTCATCTGGTGTTGAGTCGTTGCGTAAAGCATCGCCTCTTTGTAAGGTTAAACGTCTTGCAGCCAATGTGTTTTCCATACTTGTTGTAGGCAAAGAGCTCAAATCTCTATCATTCCGAATTTTCTTATTTATTTTTCGTAGATGTGACCGATAAGCGCTTTGTATTTTTTTAGCTGCTTCATCTTCAACAAATTTCTCTAATGATTCACTAATAGCATCATTACCAAATGAAGCCTTGTTATCATCTTGTAAAGAATAATCCTGTATCGACGATTTAGTACCAGCACTTGCACGCCGAAGTCGTCGCCTTGTTATAAATCCTCTAGCTCCTGCTTGTATCTTAGTTGCAGCAGATACTATAGTTGATTCAGTTTCAGTGGATGTGCCAGTAGTGTCCATTAAAGCAGTGCTTACATTAAAATCGCTTTGTGTGAATTTAGATTTTTCAATGCTAGAGTTTTTAAAATCAGCACTTGATTCATAGAAATCAGAATCTGCATCAGACAATGAGTATGCCATCATTTTTTTGCGTATATTTTCTGAAGTGTCATCATCAAGACAGAAACTATTTCCGCTTGTTAGAGTTTCATCGCTTTCAGTTGGGTCAATATATTTAATAGTTTCATCGATAGTAACTGATTTAAAAAGCGTTTTCGGATCTTCACCAGCTATAGTGTATAATCGTTTTAAAGAAGCCCTTGGCATTACATCTATTTCGGTGTCATCCTGACCAAAAACAATCTCAATATCTTGCAAATTTTCTGTACCGAAAACAACAGAGTCGCTTTGCGCAGAACTCTCACGAGTCTCTTCACGCTGCAAATCCTCCATAATTATAATATCATCATCTTCAACATCTGTTGATTTTTGTTCTTGTAGTTCTTGCATAGATTTGATAATTGGCTCATCAAAACTGGTTTCTCGTTTTAATTTCTCATCTCCAGTATTTATTAGGGTTTCAGATGCACGTCGTTGTTGCATTCTTGATATAATTACTGTGGCATCATCAAGTTTTTCAGTTACTGCCTCGAATGCATCGTCTGTTGATGTGTCCACATCATTGCTAAGTTCACTTGTTTGAGATTTTAGCTCAGTACTCTCAACTTCTTCATCTGTTGTTTTGAATCGAGTATAAGGAATACTGGTGCTACTGAAGTTTCTTTCAGAATTTAAGAAATCAAGTTCCTTTTGGATAAGATCTGAATTGATTGTATACTGATGAATATTCTCTTCCTCTTCTGCTTTTTCAGTAGTTTTTGGAACATTATCATCAACTGAAATATGAATAATAAAGTTTTATGAAGAAATTCATTTTTAATATTTTATTTTTTCATTCATAGAATAAATAAAATTTTATTGTTGTAATTTACTACTGCTCTATTGAAGAATCAATTTTTATATATTATAAATTATGTTGTATATAGAAATATTATACATTGCTTTAATGAATATTATAATTTGTTGAAATAAATATAATACATACCTATGCTTCAATGTTGTAAAAATAAGCAAAAATTGGAGTAGCGTATTCGAAGGGATTAAGGGAATAAACCCGTTCTAATTATGACATAATCTGAAGACAATAAAAACTAATATATTATATTTTATATTTTAATATAACTAATGTTAAACTAATGACGAAACGAAGTATGTGTTATCTACTGGTAGAAAAGTGCGTCGCTCGGACGCTGAGCTAGTGGCTGGCGAGTATTCTTTCGAATCCGCGAATGATTTTATCTATCCTGGTCTGGAGATCATATGAAGAGTCACTACTCCTAATAGGTGCTACTATGTGATGTACAGCTCTCTCTCTCACAACAAACAAAACTTACGCTCTATAGGTAGCTCACCCTTCTTGTGTTTCTATATGGCGCGGAAGCATAGACGTTATCACAGAATAATGAAGCAGTACTGGGATTGTTCGAGAGAAAAGTTCTTCCAAACAAAATTCTACGAGTTGGCGATGAATGAACCACGAGCTCTACAAGTTTTATCACGACATTGATATAATTTAACGAATTAATATCCAGCGGCTTCGCTGTTTTGGTCAATTCGTGAGAATGGATGAAGATACTCCAGCGAAAAAGGTGTGTGAAGTAGTAGTTGGAGGAAAAAGGTGTAGAGATAGATCGTGTCTCCGTTTGAGTGATCAAGTTGAGGCAGCAATGTTAAACTAATGTTAAATTAAAAAACTGTTTATAAGTTACGCCAGGGCTGTCCAAACCAGATGCGATCACGGGCGAATAAAAATCACTATATAGATTGGGGGGCCGCAGAAACAAATGTATATGGTCCTAGTTGTTTACGACAAAAATAAAAATACAGTTTTAATGTTAAATTTAATTTTATTAATTTATCAATTTATATTCATATATTTGGTACATATACCATGAAAATAAAATAATGTAGTTTTACCAGAATACTATAAAAGAAAATTTGCGTAATTGCAGTAGATTACAAACATGTCGTGGGCCGCACAAATATTAGCCGCAGGCCCTGCCTTGGACAGCCCTGTTTATTATATAATTTTTAATTTTTAAAGATAACTTAATAATCTGAATACGACTATTTATGATCTTCCTCTTAATAATATTCTCTTTTAAAATATTTTTTTGTTATTGGAATAATATAAAATCTTTACAGCTACTTAGCTTTAATGTAATCACATCATATTACGATATTTAAATTTTTCATAATATATACTTAAAGTAGATATATATTGTAAAATACAAAGATTTGTACTCACCTTGATTAGTGTCAAACGATACGTGATCTGCTACATTAGCGCTTTGGATATGTTCATTTTCCTTTCCCTCTTTCAATTTCTCTCCAAGTTCAACTTCAGTCGATTGAATCCTGCTGTTCTTATTAACCTCTTCCAAATGTTCTGCACTCTCTGTAACGGAATTTTCTAGAATATTTGTGTGCGTTAAATTTTTATAATCCCCATTATTTTGAATATCATTTGTTGAGTTATTGAATTTGTCTTCAATATGTGTGGAATCTTTTGTAAGCAAACTACCGGTACTATCTACTTTTTTAGTTGCCAATAAGTCTGGTGCTGATATACTTTTACTCAAATTATTATCGCATGCATCATTTTCTAAACTACTTTCAGAGTCGGAGGATATAGAATTGCGTTTTGTACTCTCTTCATTCCTGCTGTACTCATAATCTGTTGGCTTAATTGGTACATTACCCACAAACCAATTCACTTTAACCTTTTCAGCATCTTCTTCCATCACTTCGGCTTCCGTTGGTGCTGTTGGTTCCATATTATTCAATTCATGTTGCACTATGTTATCATTTTCATTGAATGTGTCACTTTTAAATTCTAAGCTGGATAATGATTTGGAGTCCTCGTTTTGCCTATCTCCCAAGTCAGTTCCAACATATATTTCCGTAACATATGAATCGTTCCATGAGTTATTTTTAGATAATTTGTTTTCAGTTTCCCTGGCTTTCTTTTTCATATAATTTTTAAATACGGTCTGAATCACAGCAGCAGCAATATTTCTTTTATTTTCTGAATCGTTATTTTCGAAAGGCCGTTTATTTAGTGTAGTGTCATTTTTATTAATTGAATTATCCGATATGGGTCCATTTTTTTTAGCTTTTAAATAGTTTTTAAAAAATTTCTGTATGACAATTGCAGCTTTGTTACGATTTTCTAATTGCTCCGCTTGACTCAAATCGAAGTCATTATTAACAGCGTCAGTCATTCCAGGTGGTGTTTCTGGTGGAGTTGGAGCATTCAACATAAGACTTTCAATATTGTTTAACTCATTAGCAGAGTTCTTGAGGTCTTGAAGCGTTTCTTGCACATAGTCTATTTGTGTTGTATCATAAAAAACAGTTTCCGAAATTAATTTTTCTGCAGAACTTATACGTTCTTGTAGCAATGTCCATGGTTCTTTTAAATCATTCGATCCTCTGTCATCAATTAAAAGTTCAGTTTTCTCGTTTAAATTTTCTTTTAAATCATTTGATCCCGTGTCATCAATTAAAAGTTCATTTTTGTCCTTTCGTTCTTCATCCTCTTTAATTAAATTTATGTCAACGTCCTCACTTTTCAATTCAGTGTTGATGTTTTTAACGGTATTATCTGACTCAGAAATGCTATCTATAACGTAGGTTCTTCCTAAATTTAGTTCATTGTCTTGCAAGTTTAAGTTATCAGCATTTTTAAATTCCATATCGGAGTTATTAATAGCCAACATTTGTTCTTCTTTTAGTGGAGTCCTTACTTCCAACAAATATCCATTCTCTTCATCTGGAATTAATTTTTTATCGGTATTCGTACTTATGAGTTCGGTATTGGTACTTTGAAATCTATTTTCTGAAATTGGATATGAAGCATTTTCTTTAACGTACGTTTTACCTAAATTTTGTTCGTTGTTCTTATCTAACAGGTCTGCGTTTTCTGGTTCTAGATTTGAGCAGCTTGCAGGTGCAAGATTAATAGTTTCATTTATGTGTTCAGTGTCATAGCTATTAGTATCTGATATTTTTATTTCTTCATTTGATTGTTTTGGTACAACCAAATTACCAATTTTTTTCAAAATATCATTACCAATATTCTGTACTTGGCTCTTTTGAGTTATTGGTTCTATTTCTTTAATATCGTTTTCTAAAATAATGACATCTGTGTCTTCGGATGGTATTTCGTTCAGAACCTTTAAAATGTTTTCATTTCCTTCTGGATGACTGGCTTTATCGGTTTTTATATTTTCGTCAACTAAATCTATAAAAGATCTGTCGTGTACATTTTCCTTTATAGGTGCCGGTACTTCAGTATTCTCAGTGATGATCTGGTTAGGATTATTTTTGTTGAATTCATAGTTCAATTCTTCATCAGTTTTAATGTAAGTAAGATCATCATTAACATTTTGGTTTAAAATAATATCCGATTTTGACGTAGTTTTTTCAATATATGTTTCCTCTATAGCTGCAGGAAATATTTTTTCTTCTCCTAATAAATTTTTTGCTCCCAATGGGTTTCTTGTTTCCGCTGTAATATCAACAGAAGTTGAATTCGTATCAGTTTTATTTACATCTACAGATGAATGAAGTGGTTGCAAATTTGAATCGTTGTTGTGAGGTTGAGAATTCATGACAGCTTTTTCGATGGCTAAATATTCTTGTAAATCATTCATAGAATTTTTACTATTTACTGTGTAGTTGTCACTTGTGTCAACCTTAAGTATTTCAGGTTGTGTTTCATCGAAACTAAGAGCTTTCTTATTCACTTCTTCTTCCATTTTTATTTCACTGTTTGTTGGATCTGAATTTTTTTCTAACATAAAACGATCTTTATTTGCTGCGACCGGTTTACTTTGGGGGCTATTGGTATCATTATGTTCCAAGTTATTTTTATCAATTATATTATTTGTGTCATACATTTCTTTTAATTCATGTTTATCGTCATTGTTTGTTTTCTGATTTTCTTTATCACTAACAATAAAGTCATTATCTATAGACCTTTTACCACGTTTTCTACTGTGACCTTCTGATTCTTCAGTCTCTTCTGAATTTACGTTTTCATTAAGCCTCTTGGTAGGAGACCAACTATCAATGAGTTCAATTTTTGCATCAGAGACTAATTTATCATTTCTTAAGGTCTCAGTAACTTTTTCTGTGTCATCAAGTTGCAATTTCACACTACTACGTTTGCTATTTTCAGTCTTTGTAGAACGCGGAGTCTCGTTTTCATTTTGTTCTACTATGGTATGCAGAGTTGAACTCGGATTGTTTAATAATAACGACATAGCTTCTTCAGCTGTGTAAGTGACAGCCATGTCTGGAGAACTTTCTACATTTTGGTTGAAATCAAAGGCTTCAAGTTCATTGAATAATTTTGTTGGCGTTTCCGAATCCAAGATTTCATCATTAACTTTATTTTCATTTTCATCTAGAACTACGCTTTCATTTCCTTGCACTTCAGTATACTTAGGAAAATCATCGTCGTATTGCTCAAATGTATTATCGTCATTAGCAGGGAGTATCTTCGAATCCGTAGTCTCTTGTAACATTACTTTAGGGTCATGAAAAGGAATAGTGAAAGCTTCAGCAGGTTTATAATCTTTTTGAGTTTGATTTAAATCCTTCAAAGCTGTATGTATGCCATATAAATAAGTAGCAGTTCGATTATTTTCAGTAGTTGGTTTAATAATTGGTTCTTCAGCTGTTTTATTTCCATTCATATGTCTATCGGGACCGATATTAGTTTCTGCATTGATTTTATTTTCTTCCATCCCCAAGTTGATAGATTTTTGATTATCTTCTAAAGTTATATCATTATGAGTATTTTCTTGTGGTATTTTTTTACCAATATTTGTTGAACTCTCGACATTATTCTCGTTTGTCCAAGGAAAACCTCTCATTCCTGCTTCCGGCGGATTATTAAGCGTAAAGGATTTCAGATGCACTTCTGCCATTAGGGGTCCTGTTATCTGACCAGCATAATTCGTACGTATATTCTCTTTGATATATTTAGGATTCACTTCAGAATTTTGAAGATTTAAAGTATTTTCACTAACATTTTCACTACTGCCAATTTTGTTAGAATAATTGTGTGAATTTACTGTGCCAATATTAGACTCTGGTGTTAAATTATCAATATCTAAAGTGTTAGTAATAGCTTTGTGATAAAATATTCATAATAAAAATTTTAATTTAAAACTTACTTGACTCTGATATACCCCCTAATTGATTTGTATGCGCTAAGAAAGTAAATATAATTAACAGTAAAATTTTATATCAGAGTTATATTTCTTTACTTGTCTCATCGTTCTCCTTAGTTTCATCCAGTTCCACCGAGATAGGTTCGGGCATTGCAATATTAGAATGGTTTGAAGTCTTGACATTATTTTCAAGTTTTTTGACATCTTCTTTTTCTAAGAAATCTTCTTTAGCGGTTGTGTTGTCTTTTTGTTCATCTGATAAATTTTCTTCTTCGAAGCTTGGGTGATGAACTGCTGCATTTTCAGTTACTTGAATATGATCACGTGTCTCCTTTTCACTTTGGTTTTGGTTTTCTAAGCTATTTTCATCAATTAATTTGCTGTTTATGTCATTAACTTGTACTATGGAATGAGTATCCACAGTGTTTTCAGTTTTCATGGAATCGTTGTTTTTCAATGAAATCGGATGTTCTTTATTTTCTTTTTCAAAACTGCTTAATTCGTCTTCTAAATCAGATTTCATTATTTTTGGTTCTAAATCAGTTTGACAATCAGCCCAATCTCTCAATAGTTTCAGTTCATTTTCAACATTTAATTCATCATCACTTAATTCTGATTTGTTTTCGGTAAATACACCTTCCGATTGCGCACTTTTATTGGTGTCCTCATTGGTTTTAGCAGTGATTACTTCTAAAATGTTTGTCTTACTTGCTGGTCTTTGCAATTGTAAATCTTCTGAATCATCAATACTGATATGTGGACTTATTTTCTTTTCTGAATTTTTATTAATATTAACCTCATTAGTAAAGTGATCGTCTTTATAATCCTTTTCTTTGGATGCTATGGTCATTTCTGCTTTTGCCAAAATATCGCTTTCTTCACTTTTATTTCTACGATTTATTTCAGTGTCTTTCTGATCAACTTTAAAATCTTCTTCGTCTTGATTTTTATTTTCTTCTTGGTTTCTGTGTACAATAAGTTGTTCAGATTCTGCTGTGTCTTTTCCCACAATATCATTGTTACTTAACTTTATTTCTTCAGTGTCGTTATTGCTTTTCTTAGATTCTCCATCAGAACAAGTAACTAAATTTTTCGTTATGCTTATCTCAGGTTTCTTGTCTTCAGATTCGAGAATCTCTGTTTTGCTGTATTTCATATCATTCAAATTAATATTTCCCTTAGTATCATAATCGATACTCCTTTTTTTTAAAGTTTTTTGTGCATTTTCAGTATTATTTTCATTTAAGTTTTCTTCAGCAATCACAAGATCACTGAAAGTTTGATCAAAATTTGAATTTTCCGAAATGTCTTCAGTAGTATTAATTCCATCGGTTATATTCAAGTTTTGGTCTAAGCTTTCATTGTGAGTGCCACATTCTAAACTATTTTCTTTTTTATTTGTTCCTTTCTTGCTCATTTCTTCCTCTTTTAAATCTTTCCTGATCTCACTATTGAGTGAATCTTCTGGAGTTTCATTTTTAATCTCTTTTTCATGCACATCTTCCAAAGAATTTACTATTTTATTCTCGTTTTTAATAAAATTTATTTTGTTATTCTTTTTAGTCTTGACTTCTGCGTCTGTATCTCTTTCATTATCTGCAGGAAAGGAATCGATTTTTGCGTTTTCGGTGTTAACTTCAATGTTAAAAGACTTATCTTTATCTTCACTTAATATATCAACCAATTCTTTCTCAGTTTCATGTTCGGTTAAACTTGTTTTAAGGGTATCACTTATTTTATCGTTTTGAATTTCATCATCAAGTTTTGTTGGTTTAATTTGGATATAATCGACGTTAACTTCAGAATTTTGATTTATGGTTTCATCTGAATTTGAATTATTAAAAACATTTTTATCAATTTCTGATTTAGCAGAAACTCCATTTAAGTTTCTTTTATCCTGGTTAACAATGTTCGAATCTTCTTGGATTTCATCATCTAATTGTGTGGGTTGAATATTTTTCTGTTTTACGTTATCTACTTCATTAAGAGACCTAACTGCATGTGAATTTGATTCATCCAATATTTTCTTCTCTGTTTCATGTTTGTCAAGAATTGCTTCTGGACAAATTTCTTTTCGTATAACAGTTTCTTTAGAGTCATCAGTCGTTTTTGCTGAATGAACGTCTTCATTTTCCGAACTAGGGATTCCGTATTTTATGTCACCCGCATTTATTTGTTCAGAATATTTTTCCTCATTTTGAGGTGTAGGAGTAATTGTTTCTGAGGAATTTTCCTTCGCAGCACTAATTATTTTATTTTCTCGGAGTTCATTATCTGACGTGGCAGGATCATTGTGGATTTCGTCTGTTTTATCTTCACTATTGAGTGACTTGATATTATCTGTACTTAATTGATGAATATCTTTTTTCTCCATTTTGGGTTCAGAAGACATTACACTTAAAGGATTCTCTGTTTGTTTTTCATCATCTGAGTTATTGTCCCGGAACTCAGCTTCAGCTGCGCTAATGGATTCAAAGACTTCTTTCTCATTTTTAGAATCTGTAGACATAGGTTCAAAAGAATTTTCTTTTTGGCTATCAATTATTTTATCTTCTCCGATTTCATCATATGGTTTTAAAGAATCACTATGTTTAACAGTATTGTTATTATTCCCAAAGGCGTCTTTATCTGCATTTGATTGAATCAATACTGTTCTCTCAGTTTTAGATTCGGTAGCAATGGATTCAAGAGAATTCATTTTTGATTGTGGTGAGGCAACAATATTATTATTTTTATTTTCATGTTCTTGAGGTTTATTGATTTCGTGATTAGTTAAGTCTTCATGTATTTTATTCTCTAAATTGCTTTCATCGGTTTTATTATCATCTAAAATTTTATCTTTTTCATTATTGGTTTTCAAACTTTCATCCATTTCGTTATTAATGTCAATATCTGCTAACTGTATATTATTTTCAATTAAACGTTTAGAGTTTCCCAATTCAGCAGAAATATTTTCTAAAGAATTACTATCCTTGATATGCTTATGTTCTTCTAATTCATCATCTGTATTTCTAGTATCAATACTACTTGAATCAATATTAGTGTTAAAAAGGTCTTCGTCAGTTTGAGATTTAAATTGATCAGAAACTATATCTTCAGATTCTATATTTTCAGATTCAACTGTATTTGAATTATTCGTTAAAGAATGGTCTATTCTTTTATTGTTTAAAGTAGAATCATCAGCAATGGTTCTTGTCTCATTATTTTCATTTTCATGCTTTATTTGATCGAAGATTTCATTTTCATCTTTATTTTCATTTAAAATATCTTGTAACGAACTACCTTTTGGTATTTTAACTTTTAAGTTATTATTTTCATTATCTTGTGCTCTATGAATATCGGGTGTAGTAAGTTCTTCAATGATGGTATGTTCAATGGGTTGATCTCTTGAAGAGTTAATTGCTGGCTGATCAATTTCTAAGCTTTTTTTGAATTTTTCCATATCAGCAACATCAGTATTTTTTTCGTCTGTTATGCATTGGTTTTCAATTTTATTTGAATCTTCAATATTGGCGTTACCATAATTTTTAGATTCTTCCATAGATGCAGACGATTTATTTTCATTTTGTACTTCCATTGTAGCTTCATTTTCAGGTTTATTTTTTTTCTCTTCAGATGCCTGTTTGGTTAATGCTTTATCTGTATTTGCTTCTAAGGAATTTCCATTGCTTTTCTCAATGTCAATGTTTTCATTTGACTCTGTTTCAGCATTTTCAATAATTTTATTAGGGTCCGTATAATTTTCTTCCCCAATGATTGTATTGTGCTCACCGTATTCTGCGGAGTCATCTTCAGCCACTATATTTGTATCATCTTTTGGAATATTTTCGGTATAGTTTTCGGTTTTTTCAGAAATTCCTTCTGTACGATTTGGTTCTTGAAGAAACTTCTTATCCATTTTTTCGTCAGTTTCCATAAATTCATCAGCAGATTTTTCATTACTTCTATTTTGGTTTTCTATGTCGTTGAAAGCCGTTTCGTTATTGTCTTGATTGGTAATTTTTTTTAATTCCTTTGTTTCCACATTTTTTTTCAACAAATCTATCTTTGGATTAGCTTCTACTCCATCGTTTTCTGAACTTACTCTAGAACTCTCTTTTACATGGAATTTTTCATTTCTCATATCGTCTGTATTATTAGCCCCATCCTGTTCTGAAAGTTCTTTAGGTAAATTCTTCATGTTTATAGGAATATATTCTTTATTTTCGGGTTTATTTTCTTGGGTTTGGTTTTCGATTTCGGATTTTTCCTCTACCAACATATCATGGTGGTTCAAATAGTTAGTTGAATCATCCAAAGATTTTTTAATTTTCTTTTCTAGAATATTTTCATTTTGTAATTCAATTAATAAATCTTTTTTATCTTCCGTTGTTTTATCAGTTGTTTTACTTTGATTTTCATTAATTTTCTCTTCGGTGACAGTTTCTATGGATGCATTGTGTAAGTCTTCATTATGTAGTTTATCGATTCCTGAAACATCGTTTTTATCATCAGCTTTATTAGAGATTTCCGAGTGGTGTCCTGGTTTATCACTTTCAGCTGCATTTTCTGAATCGTTTTCATTTTTAATTAATTTTTCTATGCCTTTTAAATCCAAAGTATCATTTGCATCTAAATTATATTCTTCATCTTGTTTTGTAGTTTCTGTTAGGCTTTCTTCAGTTTCTAATTTATGACCTTTTAATTCGAAATCTTGTTCAATTTGATCGATTTTATCTGTATTATTTTCAGTTTCAGTTGTTTTCATTTCTCCACCATCTAATTCCCCTGTGGTGCTGTTAATGAAACCGTCTTCCGTCATTAAAGATTTTTCCAAGTTTTCGTTGTCATTTGCTTTATTATTATCAGTTTCATATTCTTTGTCTATAGTTTCTATTGTTACATCTGGTTTCATATTTGATTCTCTATCTTCTTCATCAGTTGCCGTGGAATCGTTGTTCATCTGCTCATTACTAAGTTGTGGAGTTTCTGTAGGATTTGTTATTTGTTTTGGTACATCTTTTAAAAATTTCTCATAAATCACTTTATCGTTTTCTTGTAATGATGCTATATCTTTTGTTTGTGATACATTTTTATATGTCAGAGAATCAATAGATTCAATTTCAGTGCTACCAATGACATCTGAAAGTGATTAAAAAATTAAAAAATAATTTGAAACTTTTTGATATATGAATAGATAATACTGTGAAGTTACCTATTAGAAAAATTTATATAATAATTATAAATGTATATTTTTAATATCTATAAGGATCTATAAGCAATTTAGTATGTAGAGTAGAGTTTATAGCACTCTTAAACATATAGCTGATAATTTAAACTACCTCACCGTCAAAAGCATATTAAACTCTTTGGTTTCATTATATAGAAAAACTTATTGTAAGTTTCTTTTTTGACGCGTATGATGGATTCAGAGGTAAATAGCTGAAACCACTGATCATACTTTTAAAAATATAAGACTTTTTTTTTGTTTTTTACAAAAAAAAAACAAGTAATAATAAATAAGTTAGGTTAGGTTCGGAAGGCACGTCATATACGTCAGCACTTCCATATGGAGACATATATTGCCCATTGTGATGCCATCACAAAATATTGCCGAGAAAGGCGAGTTGTTAACCTTTGTCATCCTTGTTAAACCATTTGGTCTTTCAGATGAAGTTAAGGAGATCTGATAAGTTTGCGTTCATTATCTCTGCCAATCTAGTAAAAAAGTGATCCCCAAGACATTGACGTCGCCTTGTCTGATGCCCTGGGTGCAGAAGTTGTTTTCATCTTGACAACTCCTGTATAATCGACTAGTTGGAACTAGCCACCGTAGGAGCATAGGCTCAACAGCACAGTGCGCCGTTAGTACTAAAATATCTATGGATTATATTTCAGAAAGTAATTATATTGCAATATTATCCACATGTAACATGTCTGTTAACACACACATGCGAATTTAATATTATGGGGTCCAATCCAAGACACTTCCCCCAAAAACACTTGTTTGATAATATTATATTGATTTTGGAGTGCTTAACATTCCTTTATTATTTTTTTCTTAATTTACTACACAATTTAGTTATGTTTCTTCCTAAAAACTTAATTAATTAGGCATTTGCGTTTTAAAAAACTTTACTACGAAATTAATTTTTCCTTGCTTCATCCAAAATTTTTCAATATAAAACGTTACAAGAAATAAAATAACAATTCTTACTTTTGTTTTCTAATTCGTTATTTTCGTGGAAACCTTGAGTAATTTTATTTGTTTCTGGAATTTTCCCATCCAAAATATTTGAAACATCGCGTTTATTTCTACTTAAACTTGCGTTCTGCGAAATATTTGAGTGGTCATTATCCGTTTCCTCGTCCTCGATAATAGTTTCTTGTAGCACCCCCTCTTCGTAATTTGCAATACCCATATCAGAATATTCACCAAGCGACTCTGCCGACATTAGAACGGTGGATGCTGAAGTATATGAGGCGGCTTCAGAAGCATTGTCATTGGTTTCTTCATTATGATTTGAAGGTTCTAATTTTAACATATTTACTGTATTTGTTGGCATTTGTTTTTGAAGTCTATTTTTTTTCAGTAGTTTTCTTAATGACCGTTGTATGATAAAAGCCGCGGTTTCCACAGACATTTTGTCGTACTGAACCTCATTTGATTTGCTGATGTCACTTGGGTATGCCACATTTCGCACATCACGTCTCATCTTATAGCAACGCTTCAGAAACCTTTGTATGATGTACACTGCTTTCACATATTTTTCACCGTAATGGGTGTCTATCGATTTTTCATTTGTAGTATAAATAGTTGTTGTAATTAGGTGTTTATCACTGTGATTATTTTTAGCTTCGAAATTTTGCGGAAAGTTAGATACATTTTCATTATATAAAAAATCTTTATTATTGGTTCTAATTGTTCTTCCACAAATGCACTTTCCATTAAGGTATGGCGTAAAGGAAAATCGCTCCTTGTTACCGATATAATTTTCATATTCAGTATATCGAATAGAATTTTGTAATTCATTTAAATTTTGTAAGTTTCGAAAGTACTGTACTGCAAATTCACATAAATTGCTTGGATTTTCTCTGAGTACAGCTTTTATGAAATCTTTAATTAGTTCAGTAAGTCCTTGAGGTATAATTGTGTAGACCAACGAAAGTGGTAATTCTTGACGTGTTCTGGTACCGATTTCCAATATTGTTACTGGTTCAAAACTCTTTACAATATATTCATTCTTTTTATCCAATTTCGATTCAAAATATTGAGCAGAAAATTCATAAATATTTTCTGGTTTCTCACGTAAAACTTCCCGTGTTAAACTTTTCATTAGATCTCGAAGACCATCTGGAACTCGAGGTAAATTCACAACAGGCATTTTTTAGGCTTAAGTATAGAATTAATATAGTCGAAACAAAGTTTAAATCAATACTAAACCTTTTAGTTCTTGCGTAAGTTACAAAACCCAAACGACGACACCAAAGCAATTTACCGTTTCCAAGCGTTACCGCCGAAAAGAGCCAAAACACAAAATTACCGACTCCTCTTGTTTTTGCTAACATAACGTGGAGCAACAGTCTGTTTAAGGTTAATGGACTTATAAGAAGTAATTCTATTGAGTAGAGTTGTATATAAACAAACAAATAAATGGTGCAGTTCCAGACATTAAAGAACTAGGGTGGTTCAAAGATGGTAATTTGAGTAATATATATTGGTTATTGAGAGACAACTATTGAGAGAAATACACATAATTACTACTTTAAAAAACCGTAAATAAGAGATAACTATAATTACTAGAAACTCTTTTATCCTGAAAATATTGGTTAAATATGTAGGAGATAATAACAATAATCATTCTTCAAATTATATGGGTGTATTACCAGAAACATAGAAATTTTATTATTATTAAATAATAGGTTATGAATGCATCGCGACCTAAAAGATCTATAATAACCTAAATGCCTAACTAAACGAATTCTAGACTATTTACAAATCTCGTAATTGTTGTGGGCTCAATATTACCTATTTGATTTAGCACCAAGAATCCGCTCCCAAGGTAGTGAAGTCTATGCTTACCGTAGAAATAGTCAAGTTGCATAGAACATGTTCTGATGTTTCCTTCTCCTCATGACACAGCTGACATGAGAATATAGAAATATAAATTTATGTAATTATTTTTAATTTGATTTTTGATGAAATTTAATACTGACCTAAATACAAATATACCTATGAGGTTTTCCTATTACGAGGTTAGTAAGCACCATCAGTAGCGCAACTGTAGTTGTTGTTAGTATAAATGCCATTAATATGATTAGTATTGAAGACATTGTTGTGCCTTATAGTAGCAATGATATAAAGTATATTAATAAACATCTCTCTATTTCTTATAGCATTGCTACCCTCGACACCCTAGGCAGACATCGCAAATTGTGGTCGTTTTCAGATTTCTACACTATAAGACTTCTATTCAATGGTGTAAGTAAGTAAATGGTGTAAGTCAAAACCTAGTCAGTGTGTAGATGCTGAGTTCGACTGTATTATTTAAAATTTGTTATCTTTGGAATTATAACTAGAACATATAGATATATGAAAATTTGATACATATATTGGATACATATATATATTTTTATATTTCAACTTAATGTAACTATTAACTATTCAGCTAATCTTGTATTTAATAATATTTTTAAATAAAATTTCATTGTTTCTCAAAACCTTAAATATAGCTATTGATTTTTTTTTATGACAGCCATTTTGTGGCCGTATATTCACTATATTCAGTCAAGTATCAATCTTAATATTCTGTGTAACTAGAGAATTATTCTGTAGCGTTGAAATAATATCCAACCAAATATAAAATATGTGTGAAATTCATACCTTCTGTTATTACGTATGGACTCAGTTAGATTAAATTTATTTGAACTTCTATATATGAAACAGAGTCAGGAGGCCCTATTTAAAAAAATCTTTTAGTGTGTTTTTAGTAGAGATCTTATTAGGGTTTGAACCTAGATCTTGTGTGCAGTTCTTCTAGTCATAAAATGAGACATAAAAATTTCCTCAAGACAAAACTAAACTCATGCTTAGACCCATTAAAAGTTTGCAACTCTTATTTTATTTCATTTGCAGATATACAATGCCATAAGTATATCTAAAGAATTTTTTATAAATTTTAAATTCGTTCAGTTTATACTGACACTCTTATCTATACTTGAATTAAAGAAAACAATATTGTGGTTTTAGTATTTATTTCTAAACAAAAAATTTGAAAAAAATATATAAGTGGTTTTACTTATAACAGAATTTAATCATCTCCGCTATCTTCGATGATGCGACAAATAATTGGAATATCTTGTACCTTGGTTGTATTACCAGACACAGCATCTTCCAGAACTCTACTGACGACTTCATTTTTAAACTTTCGCCACTCCTTTTCTCTTAAGAAGTCAATAAACAAATTTTCTCTTGATGGAATGCTAGTATTTAGATAAAAACGTCGTCTTTGCCAAATATTACCAGGATTTTGATTTGGTTCGAATAGCCAATAGCGTGGAACTAATAAACATTGTACTGTAGAACGAGCCATTATAACTCTATGCTGTAGCTTTTCACCTAAACCAAAAATACCTCCAAATAATAGTGAGCCTACATCGATAAAGCGACTCTCATATCTGATTTGTAATTCCTTACTTTCTTTCCCGCTTTTTTTAATAATTTTCTTTTTTTTTTTAGGAGTTTTCATAGCTGCGGCGGTAGCCAACAATTCACTTAGAATTTCACTTTCAGACTTTTCTTCAATATTTACTAAACTTTCTTCTACTGTTACATCGGTTTCTTCCTCTACTTCCTCCATCTCACCAGTTAGTTCACTTTTCAATTCCGTTTCAGTACCTATACTATCATCATACTCTTCTTCATAATTAACTTTACTTTTTGCTATATCCTCCGGTGAAGCTTGTCCATATGATAACTCATTCATATCATTTTCATCTACTTTTACGTTTGCACCATCCCCTTCAGTAGCATCATCAGTTTTATTATCTACATCTTTACCATCTGCTTCTTTTACGCCATCTTCACTAACTGCGCTCTCTTTCATTTCTTCTTCTTCTCCATCGCCTTCTCCTGTTGTAACCTCTTCATTTTCCGGTTGTGATTGTTGATTTATCTCCGGTTTCTTTTCAATTAACTTAGATGGTTTCTTTTTTGGTGCTTCATGTTCCTCATCGTCTTCATCTTCGCCTAGTCCATCCGTTTCTTCATAAGGTCTATCTGCGTCTAACCTTAGACAGTCCATTTCAATTTCTTGGAGATTCTTTATTTCTATCTGAAAGTATAATTTAAAATTTTCATCATTCAGTAAAAATATTTATTACTTAAAAATTAACATACTTTTAATCAATTTTTAAAGTTGGCTTATTTATTTTAGATAAAACATTACTTTAATAAAAATTCTGGATTTAATCTGATTAAACTGATCTGATTTAATAATCAGACGCACTTATAGTTCTGTTACTTGATTTTTCTCTTGTATTGAGTACAACTACGGGACCACAATATACCGTTTCAATATACATTAATAAATTGAATAAATATAAACTAGTAACAAACATGTAGAACCCAAGAATAATAAACTTATTGAAAGAGATATCTATACGTTTATTAATAAAATTACAATTCCCAAGGCAAGGTACTTCCAGTCAATCCTTAACCAATTATAAAGAAGTTGATAGAGAGATTACTGCTAAACCTCGATTATAATAGAAAATTATACAGCAACGATGAATCGATATTGATCAGGTATGTGAAAAAGTCAATAAAGTTTCTGCAAACATAACGTAACAATATAGGTATATGATACATCTATAAAAAATGGCAAGAAACTAACAAATCAACCATTCATGTTTGTGTTTTAGTATCTAGTACATTATTAGTACCAATAATTTTTACACTTACTCATTATTGTTCTTTGCTAGATAATTAAGAGTGGGGAGAAACTATATAAAATCTCAAATTCTGTTTATTTTCTTTCTCTGTTAATATATTAGATGTTTCAATGACAGTAAGTAATTGGCCTAAAGTAGTTTAGATTGGGGACGGGGCGGTTGCCTTAAAATAGATTTTGTGAGTGAACGTTTTTCGATGCTAAGTGGGCCTCCCATTTTAACATTGTTAGCACCGACGTGTACGAACAAGCTTTTCCTGTCAATACATGGATGTTGGAAGTGATATCTCACCGTTGACTCGGTCAACAGAACCTCGTTTGTGAAAATGGGAGTTACAACGAGAAGGTGAGGATAACAATTGATTCGCAATAGCTATATATTCACGTTTGGTAGAAAAGTAATGGAATATGAATATGAATTATCTTTCCCCGCTTAACATTTAGAGAAAATAATATTCTGACACCCTGTCAGTTTTAGGCTTGAAAATATTCCAATTAAATAACCCACGTTAACGACAATTCTAAAATAATCGTACTGTTTAATATATTATGGAATCTAAAATATTGTTTTCTATATATTTCATTTTGCACATTTTAATAACAACTGAGGTTATTTATGTTAGTTAGCTAGGAATAATAAAATAATAATGCAATAATAAATAATAATAATAAATAATAATAATAATAATAATAAATATATTTACCACTCGCTTAGGTTTCTTCTGTGCAACCACTTCAGGATTATCAACAGTACTTAGTTTCCTTACAGGCTCAGGTAAAAAACCTTCTATGGATTTTATTTCCGTCTCAATATCAAAATCGTCATCTTCTTTTGTTTCTGGTTTCTTAGAACTTTCTTCGTCTGTTTGAAATAATCCTTCTTGCTTCTCATCTGATATATCTACTAATTCATAGGATTTCTTTTCATTAAATTCTGTTACCTTAAAAAAGACATACACAACCATCAAAAATCATATTAAATTTGATTGCTACAAACCTTTAGTTTTAGACACTGCAATATCATGCATTCACCGCTTACAATAAAATAAACAGGACTGACATGTCCTTTATCCTCATAATAAATGGTTTCGAGTGGCTCGAACTGACGCAGCTGTGCCATTTTGCAGCCTCTCTGTAACTGAAGGATATATAGAAGATAGATGTTGGAAATAAATGTAATATAAATGCTAGTTTATAGTATCAGACCTGACTGGCATTTAAGTGGCTGAAATAAGGTAGCGCATCAAAAGCTGCTTTTTTTTCCATCCATAATTTAGTCATTTCAACCCGTAGAACTCGATCGAAATCATCTTCAAACACAACGAGAAGTTCGCAGTTGTCTAGAAAGAATAAACATTTTTGTTAGTTAGCTTCGATTTATGCCACTTTGTGATGGAACTCATTGAACTAAAATTATAATGGTACCTTAATAG